AAACTGACAGTTTAAATAACATGTTTTAGGTCACACAGCTAGGAAGTGGTAGAGCTGGGATATGAAACCACAGCTTGGATCTGACGCCATACTCATGACCACAAAGCAGCCCTGCCTCCCATACAACCATTTTATACTGTTTGCCATTGTACATAAAGAACCCACCACATCTCCAACACATCAGTGGGATAACACAAGCTAAGACGTGTTGTTAGATATGGAAATACAGTTTTGAGATTCTTGGTGTGAAATACAATCTATTGTCACCCAGTTAAGATTCACATTCTGGATCTGCCACAGACCATGTGTGACCTTGGTCGAGATATGTAATCTCTCTTTGCCATAGTTACCTTATTTTAAAAATGAGAAGATGCTATATTATTTCTAAAACTTTCAAAAACCATTTTGATATATCTGGAATGAGATGGCGTATCATACTTAATTTTTTTTTCTTTCTTAGAGGAATATAAATTAATGATTTATTACAATCAATAGCATCTGAGATTTGATGAAATAGGTACTTACACCATAAAGTAATTAAAAAGAATAAGTAAATAAGCATGTAAAGTTCAGTACCTTGCATATACCTCATTTGATACTTTTTTTTTTTCTAAAAAAGAAAGAAACAAAAAAACAAAGCACCTGAAAATGACATTGTGTTAACTGTTCCACCATTATGGTTGAAAGGCTGAGGCCCCACCAAGAGTAAGAAAAGNGGTTTTGCTATGGTTTGAGTGTTTGTCCCTTCTGAAACTCCTGTTGGAACTTAATCCCCAATGTGGCAGCACTGAGGGGTGGGGTCGTTAGGTGATTGGGCAGAGCTCTCATGAATGGATTAATCCATTCATGGATTTAATGGGTTAATAGATTAATGGGTTATCATGGGAGTGGCTTTCTAAGAAGAAGAAGAGAGACCTGAGTTAGCACACTTAGCCCCCTCATCATGTGATGCCCTGCACCATCTCAGGACTCTCACCAGTAAGAAGGCCCTCACCAGATGCACCCCAATAACCTTGGACTTCCCAGCCTCCAGAACTGTAGGAAATAAATTTATTTTCTTTATAAATTACCAAGTTTAAGGTATTCTAAGCAACAGAAAACAGACCAAGACAAGTTTGGTACCATTTTCAACTTTATTTTGCTAACTATTAAAAGGTTTAGCAGTAATATAATGTTTCTCTCTATGTAAAGAACATATACTGAGTGCCTTGAATAGCTACAAAAACTAATAATAACTAACACTTCACTGTGCTTATGATGTACTAGTCACTATTCTAAGAACCTTTATGTATTACTTTATGTAATCCTCATAATCCCAGGAGGTAGATATTATGAGTTTCCTATTACAAATGAAAGAACACAAAGCTGATCAGAGGAAGAGTTTGGATTATCTTCTAATATTTAGTTTTAAATATGTTAGTACAGTACCCATGGATCAAAACTCATGGCTTTGATACAAAATTAGGTTTAGGCTTAATGCCATAGACACAGGATGATGCTGTTGAGTGGAATTGTGGATGCCCACTAACCGAGCAAACAATACAACGTTGTAGAAAATAAAGATAGGGCATAAAAGGTGCTAAACACAGCACATACATACTTTAAAACAAAAGTTAAGTCATTTTTCAAAAGGTGAATTAATAATGGTACTGACAATGGGTTACGGTTTAAAGAACTGATGACGTTTAATGCAGTGAATCTGGATTCCAGCAGAAATGATGGTCTAGATTCTGAGGATGAAAAACAAAATCTATGAAAACTTTTAATTGATTTCCTTCCTTGCTATATAGTTATAGTATTCATCGAAATGCCAATTGCTATTAGAATTCTTACTTTTTTTATTGCTTGCTGTGCATATGTGTCAGTGAATATTTGCCTTTTTTACAAGCAAGCATGACATTGGAAATCACTTTTCCATATCCACTGTACCAGTTTCTATTGAACCATTTGTTTATTTACAAGTTCTTTTGGCTACCTGTATAGAAATTTATTCACATTCACAGATGTCAGGCAAGAATCTCAGATCCTTCTGTCCCTTCCTGTGAAGGTTGTGTGTCAAGTAATTGAATGAAGATTCTGGAAGCTTTATGCAAGGTAGACATACTTTATTCTTCAAATGTGAGCTTCACAGACATGCTTTATTCCTCCAAGACAAGCTCAGGCTCTGCCCTGACTCTGTTGACCCTCCATGCTCTGCTGACCCCTCCGTGCTCTGCCAACCCCTCCGTGCTCTGCCGACCCTCCGTGCTCTGCCGACCAGTGGTTCAGAGTAGTACCTTTATACTCTTAGTACACAATAGCAGCCACAAACCAAGCATTACATAATTACAACAATCATGCTGAATCAGTAAATGGGCACACGTGCAGTTACACTACTTTTATAACTTGTTTCTAGTGAATGTGCCGAACCTTGCCTATTTGTAACAGACGTAAGGTGAGAGAGCCTGACTAAGCTGTTCTTTATTTTTTACTGGTATTACTTTCCTTACAATAGGGTTTGGCAACTTGCTTTGTCTCACTTTCACACTAATATTTGCTGTCTCTGCCTTTATTCTATAGGAATTAGTTTAACTTTATTTTACAGTTTGGCTTGCTTCTTAGTTATGTAGTCATTGAAATACCATGTTCATATTCGCTTTTATGGTTCCCGTATTAGGGTAGGATTTTATTTACTTGTGCATTTATATATTTCAGCATTTCATGGCTTGCTCCATATCAGCTTTCACTAAGACTAATACATTTCTATAAAGTTATGGGATTTTACTTTTTTATCAGTGTTAATTAAGTAGTTTCTCATATCCAGAATTTGTAATTTCCTATTGGATACTAGCATAGAATGTACTGTATTTTATAAACAAAAATAATGTTTCTTTCTACAAACTATTTAGGAAGACTTTCAATAAAGGTAAATGGATATAATCACCTGTTAAGAGAAAATGACTCTCAGAATGGAACACATAGCAAAGTATAAATTTGCAGTATTTACAAGGGAAATCTAAAACAGAAGATTTCAAAAGCTTGGAAAAAATGGAGATGCCCTAAATAAATGCACCACTGAAAAATAAAAAATGTTGACTACAATAAAAATGCATTGCTGTGCTGCCAAGAAAGTAAGAAAATGCCTTACAGGTCAACAAAAATGAAGGAGAAAATCCAGAGAAGCAGGAGAATCCTGATGTGAGCACTTACCCTGAAAGGATCTGATGAACTTAAGCTTCCTTTTAATAAAAGCTGCATTGGGCCTAGGAGAAAGGAGACAAAGGAGACTGCGCAGAGTGCAGGGGCTGAGAGGAGACCCACACAGGAAGCCAGAATGCCTTACACCTTCAGTGAAAAGTGAATGAACAACAATAGCAACATAGAAAACAAAACAGAACAAACCCAGAAGAGGGGAACAATATGGAAACTTGCCTGTTACAAATTAGATGCTAGGTAGAAGGAAAAAAAAAAAAAGACTCACTTCCAAAAAAACCTCAAGTCAATTAATTTCAAGTGGTCACTAGTCAGCAGGGATAAATCCCCTTGAAAAATTAAAACTATATCCTCTTTGATGGAATCTATCTTCCGTCCAGACTTTAAAGAATTCCTATAGATAAAGTTCTATTGAACATAAGCTTGTTGTGGGGCGAACACACAGAGGAATCCAAGACCGGGGTCAGTGTGTAGTTTTATAGCTCTTTAGTGTTACAGCTCTTTGTTCAGTGTTACAGCACCTCTTTTTCTTGCAAGCAAGGAAAACGCTGGGGAGCAAGAACTCCTAAACCAGTGTCTCCCAGAACAAGGGAAAAGACCCTCTTATATAACCTGAATTCCTGCCCTTTTCCCTCCCAGGTTCCCATTCAGGTCCTCTCATGTAAATGAGGGATGCTGTCCTGCTAATTTGGATTGGTTGATTGTGAGACACAGTCTGTTGGTCACTTTAGGAGCCTAATTTGCCTCTGGCCCCTGGGGAGTGTGAGACTGCTGTTATCTTCTAGAGGGTGGGCCCAGGAAGCAAGCAGGGTAAATGGCAGGGCCAGAGTCTACAGCGGAGCATAGAGTTTCTAAAACAGTTTCTCAAACGGAAAGGGGAAAGCTTAACAATTAGAAAATGCTTAGGGCTCCCTGCAACAAGCTCAAGTTAAAAAAATCACAAAACATGTCAGGATCTAAAGTACCCTTACTGTGGCTGACCAGTTAGCTCAGTTTGTTAGAGTGCCACCTTGTAACATGAAGGACAAGGGTTCAGATCCCTGTACCAACCTGCTGCCAAAATAATAATAATAATAATAATAAAGTACCGAGTGAGTGCCAGCAGAAAAATGTAGCAGAATCATACT